TTTCCTTAAATATGATCACCTTTGAAAGTGAAGATGGATTCTGGTGCAATTTGCCATGTCTCTAATTGAGGCTGTCTCAAGTAGCATCTGGTGCCATGTACCCATCCTCAAATCACTTCCTTCTGGCATATCCTAAACCACGCCCACGTTGAGACGCGAGAGATCGTTGATCAAGAAAGCTCTATCTCAAAGTTCACAACTCATTACCGAACGCTGCATCCATCGTTTGGAAAACCCACAACTTGTTAGCGAAGACTTTATGTACAGGTTTACTTTCTTACCTGCGTCCAAACTTTTGGCCCACATCTACCAATTTCCCAACCTCCTTGAAACCCCATTTCTCATAGAAGCTTCTGACTCTGTTGTCTTCTTCTGGATCCTCAAGCACCGTCATAAAGGCCAATATCTGCTCAATCGCTTCGCCCTCTTCCAGGGAGCGGAGGAATTCTTTCATGACTGCACTCCCAACGCCTTGTTTAATCGCCCCAGGGTGACAAATGACAGCAAGCTCGGCTGTGTGAGAACATCCAACTTTGTATCCGCGAAACGGAAACGCATGAATGAACCCGAGAATACGTTCTGCAGGTTGACTCTGTTGCTGTGACCAGATATCGGTACTCATGGTCATTGGTTGAGGCATGTCCAGTTCGTGAAAACCTGTCGCAACGAGATATGGTAGATTTCGGGACGATAAATCTTCATATTCGGCGACGAATGAAGTCAAAGAAGGAGGAACATGATGCATGTCAGTTGGCGTATTCAGTATGTAGTGGTTATAGATGGCATGGACCATGTCCATGTCCTGAAGCACCGCAGCTCGAACGTTAAAGGACATCTCAGACCGACACAATGATGTTTAAAGCGCTTGAGAGTAGAAATATGAGAATGACAAGCATGAAACGTTAATGAGCACAAGATTCTACCTTTTTGAAGGGCTATCCATTGATTTCACAGGCCTCGAGTTCGGAGTAAATCTGCGCTGATTTGGATGGCCCCTTATGATATAACCCTCTGCTGTGGAGACGGCTGGAATGTGAACACGTGGACGGCCGTGTGAGAGTCTGACCTGCATATGCAGTAAATCCTTCTTTCCAATTGTCTTGATGGCGGTTGGTTGCCGTAAGAAAGCCTGACAGTAAGCGGGATGGATGTCTTCATTACATCATCTGCTTCTGATCAATCAACCTTGTTGATACTTCAAGTTGGGAGACGTGTTTTGCGAAGGCTTTGAGGCGATTCTGAACAAGGTTCGAACCGGCAAATGGACCCCTCAAATACGTGAAGTTCTTCGTTAAGAGACGCCATCAAAGCAAACCAGTTGCTTGCCACAGGCCAGAACATCAAGGGAAGATGGTGTTTGCTGTGGACCAAGCTTTAGGGGCGCAGTAGGGTGTGGCGGATCCGCATCGCGCCAATGAGCGGGAAGAAGCGGTCCCTGGACCAAAGTAGCCCGTTCAGAGGAAGTCGGGTCTCAGACTCAAAGTCATAATGCAAGTCACACACATTGTAACCGCCTGTCTTGTATCTAGAACCCATTCTTTGAACGTTTGTAAGCGTGGTACCCCTTGTCTCTGTTTACCGGGTTCTCCACCCTCTTAGTTTTAAAATAAGATGCTTTCTGTCTTGCTTGACTATACATTTCTTTCAGTCAGTAGGCCGCCGCAGTCACCTAAAGTAAAATTTCATTGGAACATTTTTGTTGAACAGTACGTATGCTATTTAGTTTGAGAGTGAGGTCTCATCCCTGCTTCAGTTCACAGATGTATTCAGACCACGGCCAACAAAATCCATACGATGAGGGTTTTCCAACCCATTTCCACCTTGTAAAAAGCAACTCATGCATTCGTTTTTCAGCCACGACCTCAAAAGGAACTTCCACAGAATTCTGAAGTGAGGCCAGTTGTGTCGAGCTTGGACTGAGAAGTTCCTCTGCAAAGCCCCGTTCCGTGATATGCCGCTTAGCTGGAGGAAAGAAGTCTGGTGAGGGGCTGGCCCTTGATACGGACGCTGGTGCGAGCTCCGCCGGGGTTGGTGATGCGGACGTTGTTGATGGAGGGGTTGCTGAAGTTGATCTGGGTGGTTCCTCCGGAGCGGACGGCGTTGGTGCGAGCGCCAAAGTTGAGAGAGATCTGCGGGTTTGCAGTCGCGCTGCGGCCCGCGCCAACGCCGAGGGGGTAGGGCTGGCGGTAGGTGAAGGTTCCCTGCGCGAAGCCGGGGCCTTCGGTCGCAACCTTGCCGAAACCAGACAGGGATGCCTCGCCCTCAAGCTCGACGGCGCCCTCGCCCACGCGGGTGACGGTAGTGCCGACGTTGGTGATGGAGCCCTCGATCACGGCGGTCTCGGCGGCCTCAGCACCGGTCAGGGCTGCGTCGACGGAGACCTCGACGGTCGCGACGACGGCTTCGGCCTCGAGAATCTCGATGGTGAACTCAATGAGAGCAAGCGCGCCGAGGATGAGCTGAGCCTGAGCGGCGGCGATGAAGAGCGCGAGAGGTAGAAGGAAGGACTTCATTATGGAAGCTTGTGTGACGAATAAAAGAGTGTCAGGTTAAAGAGTGTATGCTTCGAGCTCTAGAGAGTGAATGGTGTTGTTGTGAGTGATGGCACAACGAAAGATATGACAGCCGTCAAGCTTATATATTCATCCTATCACAAAGTCGGTCGCCATCAGCCGCACTATCCAACTCCGCGGGGGATTCGGGGATACCGGAAAATGAATGCGAAGAAAAGTTCCACTTGCACTAGACTCACAGACATTAGAAAACTTTCTCTTAGTTCATACAGTTCATTTGGAACATGACCATCCCAGGCAACAAGATCTGCGCCTCCAATCCAGGAAATGCTAGATGAACATGTAAACTCAATCTTGTAGTTCGAGAGTAGATGCTCTTGTCGGGATCCCGACTTTCAGACTTCGGTCAGTCGTCTGATGTTCCGAAAGCGGAAAGTTTAACGGCGTCCCGCAGGAACTTTTGTCATTAGCGTGTCTAACGGATACGAGAATGAGACGACGTGTTGACGACGTTCTGCCCTCGGAGACCGACCGTATATTGCCAAGTTCATGCTTTTCATATCGAACGGCAAGTCTCGTAAATCAGATCAAATAATGGATGAACATGTAAACTTTATTCCAAAGCTTACCGGTGCGCCTGTTCGGGTTTTCACTGAATGCTCATGTCATAGGGTGGGGGCGGACACGGACGAGTAACAGAAGTTAGTTAGGGAGGTAAATCCACGCCAGACACTTTACGACTCATGGCATGGGAACTTCCGAAGGCAATTCCAGCCGTACTGTTACGAAATGTTCAAAGGCGTCGGCTCGGGCTTTGCCATGGAAAGTAAAAACCCATTCGGAGAAAAGTTGCCAAAATCTTTAATGCGTCATAGAGCAAGCACACATCCAGTGACATGGGGTGCTCGATTGCGGCTCTCTAGAGTTGAAGTTGACAGCGTGACAGCGAGAAAAAGCTTAATTGATCTGTCATCTATAGTTGTACGATTCATGAGGGACCCAATTTTTAATCAACTTTACACTTCTAGAAATACGCTAGTCACAAACTGGCCGATGTCAAATACATTACCGTTGTCTGCCTCAAGACTTCTCCTCGGTATCCCGCAATGGAGGCAGTGTATTCGGAAATTGGATCAATGTGCAAAAGCCGTGTGGGCCATATCCCGAGTCTCACGGTTCATCACTTTCAAATGGTTGTTTCTAATTAGTAGCCCTGATAGTATAAGAACCAGTTCCCAGCCCTACCAACCGTAATTCCGACCAGCAGGACATCCAACATTTATCTGTCTTTACATCCATTCTTCAGTCATTCACACGCTCCTTTTAAAAGTCGTCAATCACAATGCAATTCTCCTTCATTGCCGCGACCCTTCTCGCCGTCCTCGCTCCGGCTTGGGCTTATGAGGTTGCCACAGACAAGTGCTGCGAGGCCCAGCTTGAGGCCTGCCACAAGCAGGGTGCCAACGCTTGCATGTGGACCAACGCAGCTATCTGCGTTGACAACCCGAACAACCGCGTCCCGGTCGACGATACCTGCTTGAAGGCATGCCCTGACGCCACCGTCGAGAACCCCGACGGTTTCCTCTACAAGTTCCAGAAGCACGGGTACGTCGGACTGTATCTTCATGCCCAAATGTGATAACTAACAATTCTACTAGTGCCCCCGCCGGTGATTGCGTCTGCGGCAACTTGAACCCCAACCTGAGCAAGTACTGCTACGGCGGTTAAGCGACCGTCTTCACGAAGCATTGATGGAATTTCTGGTAGATGAAGCATTGAAACTCATGCGGTTACTCTACTTGCCTGTATAGTTTAGTGTGACAATAACTTTACGAAAGCTATGTTTGCCTATACTTTGGATGTGCGCTGGTGTTGTAATACCTTCCTAGCTGCTAATCCCGTAAAACTGTGCCGCTTGCGGTGTACACCTAGGACATTCACGTTACAACACTACATTAGAATTGAACATGTATCAAACCTGTCGGCACACACGTGTAACCATTTACCTTCTATAGTTTCCAGTTTGGCAGTTTCGCTCCACTCTAGAGGACCTACCAAGTCCCCTTAAGAGTGGGCCAAACTGCCAAACATAATGTCGAAGGTAAACGCTTTTGAATATATCACCACAGGTTTCAGTAGAGATCGTCCTCAATAAGTTGAACAAGATGCTGTTATCCAACAACAACTCAGATCTTCCGCGTCTATACTCTCTACTCATTACAAAAGAACTCAAGCCGAATTACACTCTCCTTCACATTACTGATTTTCGTTTGTGGCAGCTGAACTAAGCGCCACACATTCAACGGCCTCGAATCCAGAGGTGCTCACAACACATGAGGCACCAAATCGGATCCGCGTCCATCATACCGTAGACCCGAACAATCCGCGCTAGTCGACGTTCCTAGAGTCTATGCTGATGACATCGAAGATGTCAACGTTCTTAGAAGAGGCGAACTTTTCAGCGACTAAGGCCTTTCTGACTGAACGATGGGAGGCGGGGAGCTGCTGGGCCGAACGGAGCTGGAAGAGGATGATGAAGACGAAGTGACCGGCGGCGAGCTAGAGGGCGAGGAGCTAATTGGGGGAGAGCTCGCCGAAGACGTCGTTGGGACGGGGCTGGATGAAGACGAAGTAACCGGCGGCGAGCTGGAAGGCGAAGAGCTTGGTGAGGTGGTGGGAGCAGAGCTGGAGGGTGAGGAGCTCGATGGAGGTGGGCTTGACGAGGAGGTGACAGGAGCAGAGGTTGATGAGGAACTAGCCGGAGCAGAGCTTGATGAGGAGCTAGCCGGAGCAGAGCTCGATGACGGGGAACTGGGCTGAGGCGAGCTTGAAAGCACCGGGCTGCTTGACGTCGCAGAGCTACTCACGGAAAATGGACTGGAGATTGGTGCCGTAATAACAGGGGATGCCGGGGGGGCAGAAGACGCGCTTGAGATAGCGCTTCCGGAAGAGGAGGCAGGAGATGAGCTGATTGTGACGGAGGAGCTCCCGATGCCAGAGGAGACAACACTTGACGAGGACACTGACGCGCCAGGGGTGCTCGAAGTGCGAGAGCTGGATCCCACAGACACAGGGCCTGAAGAGCTGGTAGCTAGAGAGCTGCTTGCTATTGACGAGCTCGGAGTCAAGACTGGACGGGTGCTGGAGCCTGAGCCGCTGCTGCTTGGGATACTGCTCGGGGCTATGCCGCCGACAATAGCCAGGATGAACTCTCCCACAAATTCGCCAGTGGCGGCCGGACTCGAGACTGGGCTAGACGGCACATTCGTTGACGGGACAATTGTTGACGGCACAGATATGGCCGAGCTGCTAGGTCCACGGCTAGTTGGTGGTGAACTGCCTGAAGGCACTGAGCTGGGCAAGGAGCTGACTCCAGGTGGTGTGACAGATGCAGACCCTAACGAAGAGGCGGGGCTCGATCCGGACGCAACAGGGCTGGACTGAGCGTTGCTTCCTGACAGGCTACCAGGCGTCGTCGGAACACTGACAGATGCAGTGCTAGCTCCAGACGTCGTCACGGAGATGGTGCTCGCAGTGGTTGATGCAGGTGCACTGTTCGCCAATGGAAGACTTGCGATGCTGGAGGACGACAATGTGACAGTCGCAGGAGTGATGGCCACCTGCGATGCCGGAATGACTGCAAACAAGGGAATGGCGTTAACCGCGCTTTGGCGTTTGCCAAGACGGAAACCACGACGACGCTTGTTCCCAGCCGCCGCACATTGTTCCGCGGGGATGAGAGGAAGATCCCTGATGACACTACCACAGTAGCAGGTGCCCTGGTCGGCACCAGTATTAGTGAGCCCCTTGGTCGCGCAGTAGACGGCGCAAGTGGCCGCACTATAGCTTGCAGCGTCGGTGAGCGTGTTCCCACTGAATGGTGACTCCCCGGGCGTGACACCTCTGCAGCCCTGAGACTGCACAACGAACGGCGCAGTGGACCTCTCACCGGTGACAGGGTCGATGACCTCAAAGTTCACGATCAAAGCTTCGCCAGGTTGAATTTTGAAGACTTCCTCGAATGCCACGGGCTCGGTGCTGAGTACAGAGATTGAGACAGATGCAGAAGATGATGGGCTTGCCGAGGTGACCGTTCCGCCTGATGAAGGTGATGTCGGGCTTGCCGGTGGGGTGGAATTCGGCGGCGCATCTGCCGAGGAGGGCACGGGTGTCGGACTCTGGGAAGACTCGGGCTCTGGGGTAGGAGTCGGAGAGGGAGATTCCGAGGGGCTGGGAGTCGGGCTTGGTGAAGTCTCTGGTGATGGACTGGGAGCCGGCGAGGGGCTGGGAGAAGGTTCCGGTGATGGAGACGAGCTGGGCTCAGGCGAAGGTGAGGGCTCAGGCGATGGCGAAGGTGAGAGGGATGGTGAAGGCGAAGGTGAAGGTGAGAGGGACGGTGAAGGCGACGGTGAAGGTGAGGGGGATGGTGAAGGCGACGGGGAAGGCGACGGGGAAGGCGATGGAGATGGGGTTGAGCTTGGCACTGCAGCCTCTGATGTACTGCTGCTCGACGTCGGTGGAACAGGAGGTGCTGAAGACGAAGTTGACTGAACAGGGGCTTCAGTGGAAGAACTCGTAGTCGGTTGGACAGGATTCTCCGTCGAAGACGTCGAAGTAGGCGTAGGCTGGACTGGAACTTCCGTAGAAGTAGACGAAGTCGTAGGCTGGACTGGAGTTTCTGTTGAGGCAGTCGATGTTTGCTGCACAGGAGGCTCGGAGGTTGTGGTGCTCGTTGTAGGCGCCACCGAGGGCTCCGTAGAAGAGGTTGAAGTCTGTTGCACGGGAGGCTCAGTTGAAGTGCTTGTGGGCGACTGAACGGGAACTTCGGACGTGGAGGACATCGTCGACTCGACCGTGGGCTCGGAACTTGTGCTGCTGGTCGTCTCTTCCGCAGTAGAGGAGGTGCTTGTCGTTGGCTCAACAGGGGCTCCAGATGTCGCGCTGCTGGTGGTCGACTCAGGCTCGGAGCTGGATGTGGCAGTAGTCGATTCAACAGGAGGCTCCGAGCTGGTGCTGCTCGTCGTTGGGTCAGTAGATGATTCAGGAGATGTGGCGCTGCTCGTCGCAATCGGTGGTTCGGAAGAAGTGGACGTTGTAGTCGGCTCGGCGGAAGTCTCGGTGGGCGATGCTGTTGTTGACGGGACCTGTGATGAGCTGGTAGACTCGACTTCCGCCGTGCTGGTAGACTCAGGTTCCGTCGAGCTGGTAGATTCGACCTCCGTTGACGAGCTGCTGGGTTCAGTTGAAGTCGCCGTAGTGCTGGTCTCCGCGGGTGTGGCCGTAGTGCTAGCTTCAGTGGACGTCTCAGTCGTGCTAATCTCGGCAGATGTCTCAGTGGCGCTGGTGTCAGTTGATGTAGCTTCCGTTGATGAAGCCTCAGTCGAGCTTGCCGCAGTCGATGTAGCCTCAGTTGAGCTTGGCTCATCTGTGCTAGTTGCTTCTGTAGAGGTCGCCATTGTGCTCGCTTCCTCTGTAGAGCTACTTGCTTCGGTCGATGTGCTGATGACGTCTTCTTCAGTGCTGGTCGCCTCGCTGGAAGTCTCCGTGCTGGAGGTTTCAGTCGCACTTGTCACTCCAGTTGAGGTTTCTGTTGTACTGGCATCTTCGGTTGTGCTAGTGGCCTCCGTGGAGGTTTCCGTTGTACCGGCGTCCTCGGTTGTGCTGGTGGCCTCAACGGATGTCTCAGTGGTACTAGACGGTTCCTCAGTTGAGCTGGAATCCGTGGAAGTAGCTTCGTCCGTAGCAGTGGATGTACTACTGTCTGTAGTGGCGACCTCATCCGGGTCAGCGGTTGTACTGGCCTCATCGGTGGTTGTACTGACGGCATCAGTGGTTGTGCTGGCCTCATCAGTCGTGGTACTGGCCTCGTCCGTGGCTGTCGTAGTGCCATCCGTGTCCGTGGTAGTCGCTTCATCAGTGGCGGTGCTGGACTCATCAGTGGTTGTAGCCTCGTCGGTCGCGGTAGTTGTGCTATCTGTAGCAGTAGCATCATCGGTAGTGGTAGCAGTGGAATCTGTCTCGGAAGCAGTGCTGGACTCGGTACTTGAGGCGGTGGTGGAAGTGGTGGTTGACTCCGGGACGGTGAAGACAACCTGAGCGCTGAGACTACCGCAGCTCTCCGCGGCGTCTCCTGAACACGCCATGCTGCAATTATCATCTGCAGTTACACTCGTAGTCGGATTGATCTCGCTGCCACAATAACACGACTGGCCGCTGTCTACTCCGTAAAAAGTGTAGTTCTTTGGTTGACAGAAATCCAAACAGTTCTCTTGGGTCATATTCGCGGCGTCGGCATAAAAGTCGTCGCTAGTAACTGGCCGTTGCGCACCATTAAACGCGTAGCAATTCCCGTTGAGACCGCCAGTCGCTTGTGCATGTATGGTAGGCAACAGAGAAAAGACGGCCAAAACGGCCGTCTTCTGCAGCCAAATCATCTTGCCGGGATGTCTGCTTCCAGCAGCACTGGCAGGATCGTGAAAAGAGTTCGACGAGGATCGAGGCTAAGAGCCACGAGCTTCTCCTAATAGAGAAATGGGCCAAATTCAAAAGAAGAGACAACGAAACTTCCTTCTAGTCACCAAAGATGAATCGCGGAGAGAGCCGGTCGAAGTTAGAGTTTCGTCTGCATGTCCAGAAACGCAAAGGGGCGACGGTCGAGAGAAGAGGTAAGGCTCGTCCTTTTTCTTCTTCCCTTCCATTTTTGCCAAGACCAACGCCCGTGGGGACAACAAGAAACGAGGCATCGCCATTCTCATCCCTCCACCGCCGCGTCGACGGTCTCACCCACATCCCAGGAACCAGGGATTCGCAGAATGAGGATTCCCAGGGTCAGGCATGAAGGCAAAACGCCCTTGTGCGCCAATCATTCCAGGCCTCTGCCCTTCTTCTCCCTGTGGCCAGTGTGCGAATGTCTCGCTTGTCTTTCCCCCCATCTCGGCCGGTCGACTGCCGCGTCGGAGTTGATACGAAAAGAGAAAATGGAGAGAAGAGTCTCATGGAGTGCACTCCGGTGACTAAGCTGGGCTTTCCTCCGTCGGGTTAGGATCGTTGATTGTGGCTTGCGCTGTCCATAGATCTGAAGGGAATGCTTCGCGCCCCTGTATTTTCCACTGCATGCTTGGGCAATCAAGGGAATGAAACCCACGTGAGGCTGGAGGCTGAGCTGAGCCTAGGGAGGAATGATGGCAGGGTCGTTGTCCCAGGGATGCGGTGTAAACGTTCCTAGCAGTTGATAAGCCGCATGAGCTGGTTCTGCCCCGGCACTTGGGAAAAATGAAGCATGAATAATTGCTGGCTAACATCGTACTGAGAAGGCCAGACAAACGATTCTAGAGCTCTTCCGCTCCGCTCGTGTCGCACGGGGGGCGGGGCCCACTGCATTGGCTAAGGCATGTTGTTCTATTAGGGAAAGCTTATCCCGCGCCATAGGAGGGCCCAATGGAGTTCGGATCCGCAGCTTGATCGTCGTGGTGATGACTTGTGAATTCCTGTCCTTGTCTGTTTCTGGTCGATACGCATGCCGGTGGGTTGCATCATAGCATGTGGTTTGACGAGTAACAGCGATAGGTAAATGACGTGCTAAGGTTAATGAGAATAAGGGGCTGCCCGTGATGGCAGAGGACCATCAGGCTGGGTCGGCCGCATGGCATCTGTTCGGAGCGGCTGCTCAAATAGACTGTCGACCCACCGACTCAGTGTCGCGCTTGAATCAGTAAAGCAGGAAATCTTCCTGCGAAATACTGCGGTCCCGTAATCGTCGCCTCAGCTTGTGTTCCAGGCCTTCAGTGTCCCTCGCGTTGTCCGCGTAATTTTCCGCCTCGCTTCCCCAATGCATGAGCCCCTCAACGTAACATGTTCCTACCATGATCATCCCGTGTTTCTGCTGTCGTCCTCGCAAGACATGAGGCATCAGGCCGCCCTCGAGGATGCAGAGCGCGTCCCCTGCGCGCATCTTTTCTGGCCCCAAGCCGAGCTGGCCTTTGGAGGTCAGGAAGAGTCGACTGCCACTAGCCACAGCTCTGATGGTGTCCTCAACCCAACAATTATCTCCCGGCCGTATCCCCGTTGGTTTGACATCCCCATGCTCGGTTCTGAGATTGAAATCGCTAGTAAATGTGAAGAGCGGAAGGCTTAGATCATCGTCACTGGCGGGATTCTCTGCTTGAGATGAAATTGTCCAAAACAAGGGTGGATCACCAGCACACTCGCTGATGCGCAAGCTGCATTCTTCGCTGTCCTGCAGGTGTTTGTTCCAGAACATGATATCATCCTCGCTGTAGGATTCGTTGCGCGGCCAGTAGTTCGCAAAGGCGGACGCCAGAAAACGGACCAATATTCAGTAAGACAACTGTTTTTCTTCTGCGCTGCTAAGCCAACGTGGTGGTGTATAGCCACCAGAGACCCTTTGGATTCTCGCTGAAAAGCAAAGAATACGCGAAATGATCTCCACGAAAGGCTTGCGATATTGCAGCTGACATTCATCCTTGAAAAGCCGGCATATTGTGATGATTTGATAGAGTATCTCCTCGAGGTTAGCGAGATCGCTTGCGAGAGAATCGGTGATGCCTAAAACATCTCCACACGCAGCCCCGGAGACGTTCAAGACAAATGACTTTTTTGTTTCGGGGTGTTCTGGAGCTACCTGCGTGGGTAGGCGATGAACTGGCTCCCAGTCGGAACCAGCAACGCGATCCTCGTCAGCCAAGCGTTGAAAATGCTGCTGTGGTAAGACATAGAGAGCTTCTGAGCCGTCCTGCTTAGAGTGAAAGAACCTAGCACGACTGGCATTAAACATCTGGAAAAGCTCTCCGTGGAGGCGCACGCGGTGTTGATCCCAGTCGGGAACCGCATAGTCTGATGACCAGTCAGGGACCCAAGAAGGCACATCGTTCCGGGCCTTCGCAAGGAGGTCAAACGTTGTAACCCACAGAAGACCAGTTTGCTTGATGATTCTGTAGGCCACGCGAGCGAAGAGTGTGTGGACGCTAACGTTGTAGTCGGTATCAATACTCACGAGTGCTTCCTTTTCCAAGTCAAGCGCAAGTCGAAGTAGGGCGAATATCTTGTCGCGAGGCTCAGATGATCGCCTGCTCCGGAAATTTCTTAGCAACCAGAGTAGCGGACTGTTGTTTGCGAAGGGTAGTGATCTGTACGATGTCACTCGTAGGAAGTCGATCGCGTCGGCCTTTTCAGCCAAGAAGGAAAACACCGTGGCAAACTCGGTGGAATCCGTGGCAAAAGGGTTGAAAACAGCGTGTAGACCGTGTCCAATGATACTGAACGGCATCGAAACGCGACCATACATAATGGTGAGCTCTCTTGCAACACAGGCTTCCTGAATAATCCACATGCGATTCCACCAGTCGCTAACAGCGAAAAGTCGAGTTCTCTCCGACATTAGTCGGAAATGCCGTTGCGAAATTGGATTTACCGCGTCAAACATACACTGCCGTGCTAGATTCGCCGAGCTCTCATGCAATGGCGCCGAAATAATACTGTAAAGGCAAAGCATCTCCTCGTGTTCTGTTAGCGACCCTGACATCGGGTTCTGCCAAAGACTGATCGATCTCTCGATAATAGGCAAGTCCGTCCGTTTGCCAGTGAAACGCACCGGATCGGCCAGTCCAAGTCTTGCAAAACGGCGAGAGTAATCTTGACGACTGCGATCCAAGTCATCGCCCACATAGGCGATAACCTCGGTGGCGGAACCGAAAATGTCGTGCATTAATCCGACTTGGTGGCTCTTTTCGACAGAATCTTCCTGGTTGATGCACACGGAATCCACCCAGATGACGATGGATTCTGTGGTTCGGCGAAGGGCCCTCAGCGCCCGGTCGAGGTTGAAGGTGATGAATTGGACATGACGGTTGACGATGATCTTGTTGAACCTTCGAGTGCTACCCCAAGCGTAGGATAACGCAACATAGTCTTGATCCCGGTCGGCGACATATAATTCCGCAGCGAGGTCTTCGAGCCACTCGCCAGGCAGAAGACGAAGGAGACGAATCTCCTGGCCGCTTAGCCCTTCGCGGTAGGTGATGGTTGACATAGCAAGTCTGACGCGAGTACTCGATCCAAAACCTGCTTCCTGTTGTCTGTAGTGAGAAGGAGGCAGGGATTGAGTGGTGAGAATGAGCTTGAGAGAGATTGTTAGCTTGGATTGTCAGCCTGCAGTTGAAGATGCTGCCGATTGGTAGGATGGATGCATAGCAATGGTTGGCTGCCCACGAAGGCGCAGCTGGGCACCTCTAGGTCGATATCGCCATTTTCCAGGGATAGCTTTTGAAGTGCAATTCTGCCACTCGGCAGATATTCACAGGCAAAATTATCCATTGTGAGAATGCTGAGTATTGTGAGGAGGACTGCGCCTTCAGAGCTCATCCGGGAAAGTGTTGATGAAAGGAGAAGAGCGTTGGTGGGGCTGCAGCTGGCAGGGGCGACTGGGGTCGCAGTACCCCTCCTCAATTACATAATCGCCACATCAGGTAAGGCAACAACACACACTGGTCCGTGCCCGGCGGGCATCACGAAAGGCTGCAATAATTTTTTGGGAGCTCCAGAAGCTTCTTGGGCCACGAACAGCCGAACCTCAGCCTCCCCGCGACGACACACGAACCTCGCCAAACCCAACGACACGCTCCCTTTGGCCTTGTACTCGTCGTCACACAAATAATCCACCAAGATGTCGTTCGGAGGCCAGACCCCGACCATTATCGTCCTGAAAGAGGGTGAGTTTACCCCACCGCCCCTTGCCCGCCCGCGGGCCACGATTGACGAGTCTCTTGCGCAGGAACCGATACCTCTCAGGGCAAGGGTCAGATCATCTCCAACATCAACGCATGCTTGGCTGTCCAAGCCACCATCAAGTCCACCCTCGGTCCCTATGGCGGCGACCTGTTGATGGTCGACGCCAACGGCAAGCAGACCATCACCAACGATGGTGCTACTGTCATGAAGGTCAGGAAGAACGATGCGGGCAGCACAATGGAGGTTGAATTGCTGACACGCCGATAGCTCCTCGACATTGTCCACCCCGCAGCCCGAATCCTCGTCGACATTGCGAGGTCACAAGATGCCGAAGTCGGTGACGGCACAACATCCGTCGTCGTCCTGGCCGGCGAGATCCTCAAGGAGATCAAGGAGCACGTCGAGCAGGGCGTCAGCTCCCAGGTCATTATCAAGGGTCTGAGAAGAGCGTCCATGATGGCGGTCAACAAGGTCAAGGAGATCGCGATCGATACCAACGAGGGCAACAGGAGGGAAACACTCAGCAAGCTGGCCGCCACCGCCATGACGAGCAAGCTGATTAAGCGCAACACAGACTTCTTCACAAAGAGTACGTCAACACGATTGCCTTCCGATAGTGCCAGTTCTAACGTATCGCAGTGGTTGTCGATGCCGTCCTTTCCCTCGACCAAGACGACCTGAACGAGAAGTTGATCGGCGTCAAGAAGATTCCCGGTGGTTCCCTCACCGACTCCCTCTTTGTCAACGGTGTCGCCTTCAAGAAGACCTTTTCCTACGCCGGTTTCGAGCAACAACCCAAGTCTTTCCAGAAGCCCAAGATTGTGTGCCTGAACGTCGAGTTGGAGCTCAAGGCCGAGAAGGACAACGCCGAGGTGCGCGTCGAGCAGGTTTCGGATTACCAGGCCGTCGTCGATGCGGAGTGGCAGATTATCTACAGAAAGTTGGAGGCTATCTACAAGACCGGTGCCAAGGTCGTTCTCAGCAAGCTGCCCATTGGCGACTTGGCTACTCAGTTCTTCGCCGACCGCGACGTCTTCTGCGCTGGCCGTGTTGCCGCCCAGGATATGGAGCGCGTGGTCCAGGCCACCGGCGCAACTGTTCAGTCAACGTGCTCTGACATCCTGGCCGAGCACCTCGGTACCTGCGGCAGCTTCGAGGAGCGCCAGATTGGTGGCGAGCGCTTCAACTTCTTCGAGGGCTGCCCCGAGGCCAAGACCTGCACACTTATGCTGCGTGGTGGTGCCGAGCAGTTTATCGCCGAGGTCGAGCGTTCGCTGCACGACGCCATCATGATCGTCAAGCGCGCCATCAAGAACCACACCATCGTCGGTGGTGGTGGTGCCACCGAGATGGAGGTCTCCGCCTACCTCCACCGCTTCGCCGACAAGAACATCCCCCACAAGCAACAAGCCATCATCAAGAGCTTCGCCAAGGCTCTCGAGATCATCCCCCGCCAGCTCTGCGACAACGCCGGCTTCGACGCGACCGACATCCTCAACAAGCTGCGCGTGGAGCACCGCAAGGGCAACACATGGTCTGGTGTCGACTTCAACAACGAGGGCGTCACCGACATGATGGAGCGCTTCGTCTGGGAGCCCGCGCTGGTCAAGGTCAACGCCATCCAGGCTGCCACCGAGGCCAGCTGCCTCATCCTCGGCGTCGACGAGACGATCCGCAACGAGGAGAGTGCCGCGCCTCAGGCCCCCGGTCAGGCCCTGCCCCCTGGTGCTGCCCAGCGCGCCCTGAGAGGCAGAGGACGGGGCATGCCTCGCCGGTAAGGTGGTTATGACTGGAAAATGAATGGAAAAGGAAAAAGTCAAAAGGATTTGATGAATGGCGTCTGTATGATACCTAGAATTGCCCCACAGGGGTTTTGGCTTCCAGAAGTCTGAATAGACTGGGTCATTTGTCGTCTGCCATGAGCGGTCCACGTGCTTTCATCAAGGAGCAGCATTGATGTCACGAAAATCCTAACGACGGCATATAGGTCATGTACGCACGGGAGAGGCTACCTTGTCGCGATTGATTCTTCAGATGTCAAATTGCGGTGTTCACGACTTGACACGAGCGAGTGCAGGATTAGTACCGCTTAGCTGGTGATGAAATCGGGCCGGCTTACCCAGAACTCCATGTTCTCTCTGACAGCGCGGGGTTCTTGAAAAACGACATAGAGATGACATGCAAACTGAGAGCTGTCAAACACAAATTTACAAGTGTCGATATGACACCTCCGAAAGTCATTAAAATGCAGTGAAGAAACCTAAAAAGCACCGAGCTATATTTTTGCAGCATCCGATAGGCGGGTGGGATGCACAGCTGATGTAATCTCGAAGAGGGAACACTAGCGGTAGCTGTACCCTAAGTGGATGGGCAGCCGTCACCGAGAAGTACAATTTAAACCTACCTGTGGCTCGGCGGTGAGAAACTGCCCGTGGATTTTGGTGCGGTATTCATGATTGACAACTGATATTTTGACAGTTCAGTCAGTTGACAGCCTGGGAAGCAATTTGCTGGTATGCACGAGGCACTCGAGGAGCATCTGCACACCACCTAAGTAAACCGATTCTATTAAAAAAAAAAAAAAAAAAAAAAAAAGAGAGAGCTTCTTGAATGTCGGAATCGTGTCAGGGGCGAGCTCAGTTGGTGTCGTACATGCAACCAGGTAAGCTAGTTGGCCCTGGCACTGTGCCTTCCAGCGTTCTTACTCGAGACGATGCATGAGAAGTAAGGTAGGAAGTCTATTCGTCGTCTTCGAGTGCTATGCCTGCCAAGTATGCAAAAAGGTCATAAGAAAATGCAAAAGAAAATACCACCGCCGCTGCCCACGAACGCGATATGTCGTCAACTCGCCTTATCCCGCAGAGTACCCCATCCCATACATCTCCTTGTCCCGTCCCTTGTCTCCCATAGGCTCATCAACGTCATCCTCCTCCTCATCCCCTTGCTCTATCAGCATATCCAAGTCTCGATCCACAGCAGCTGCTTCCTCCGGCGTCTCTTCGGCCTCCGTGGCATTGAGCAAAGCTTGAAAGTCTGTGTGGTGTGGGTGGTAATGATTATACGGATCATGCGACGTCGGTGGCGGTCCAATGATCTGCGGGTCGATAGGCTGGTACGATTCGTCTTGTAGCATGGGATTGTGATGCGGATGTCGAGGTAAAGGTGAATCAGATGGATCGCGGAGGGTATGTGACGGTGGTATTGACGCGACTTCCGCATACGGCGACGACCGCGGCGGGGATAACGGCGGTAGATGATGTGGTTGCAGCGCAAGAACGCGACCCGCGGCGCTGACGCTCGCGGCAGACGGCATCGGTGTAGATGAAGAAGCAGATAAAGTAGGATTCGAAAGAGAATTGTTAGTCATGGGCACACTCTTGTTCGAGGCAGCCGCAGCAGCAGCAGCCGCAGCCGCCGCCCTGCCCCTCGCACCCCCATTGCCCCCCGGGGCCGGCATCTTCCCCAGCTCCTTGCACTCCGCGCAGTTCCTAATCACGTCACTAACGGTCTCCTTGATGCGGCTCCAGTGGTACTTCTCGGCAATGGTGGCCGTCGTCTTGTTGATGCCGCCATGGCTGGCGACGTGGACCTCGCGGGCGATCTCGTACTGGAGGCGCGGGTCCGGGACGACCTCCTTGTCCTTGAGCATGAGCCGGTCGCCGTCCAGCAGCTTATAGTGCGTCGCGGCGCTGCGGAGCCTGCTTTTCTCGGCGCGGTCAGCCCCCGCCGGGTACTTGCCGTACTTGAGGTAGAACTTGATCTTGTCGAAACGCTCTTCACTCACGAGTTCCTCGGATTCGCCGGGGACGAGGTCGCGCCCGTAGATGATGGCGTCGATGAGCACGCCCGGGTGCGACTTGAGGTTGCCGCAGCCCTTGACGCGCCCGATGCGCTTGAAGCCGAGGGCGTCCCAGATCTTGCACGACGCGACGTTGGTCTCGTAGACGAGGTTGAACACAGAGTACGTGTAGCCCAGCTTCGGCGCCCAGTCGATGTAGCACTCGCCCATGAGGCGGCCCACGCCGCGGTTGCGCGAGGCGTCGGTGACGAGAAAGCCGGCGTTGCACACGTGCGAGCTGCGGCCGGGGTAGTTGGGCTTGATGTAGAAGCTGCCGAGGCACTCACGGGACCAATCCATGTCCTCGGTGAGGTCGGCGCGGTCGACGTTGCCGAGGAGCATGATGGCGCCGAAGTTCTGGAACCAGTAGGCGCCGAACTTGTCGGCGGGCATGCGGTCGGTCATGGGGTAGGTGTCGCCGCCCTCGATTTCCTTGTTGAGCTGGTCGCTGAGGTAGCGTACGA